GAATGTCAAGTAGCAGTATCATTAGGATGGTTCTTATTTTTCGACTTTTCGAAAATCGAATGTCTGACCCCCCTAAAAGTTGTCATTTGGTGTAAAAAGAAAATTAACAAGTTTTCGGCGGGAAGCCAAAACTGTTTGCTATTCTAGGAGATTTTGTAGAATATCATGAAGAAGCAACATTTTTACAAAACTGTATTCACGCTGGTTCCTTTTTGCTAAATTCGATCCAAATGTACCACTCAAGAATTAGCTACCCTGACGGAAATTCATAGTTAAAGCGTAAGGTAAAAAGACGACGGGGAAATGGAGCGATCCTATTGTTTGAAACGGGTGATTCTTATAGACCAACTGGGGAAATGATGGAGTAACTACAGCAGTACAGGGTCTTGAGGGGCCCGCCTCCACCAATGGCATCGCTCCATTTCCTCGTTGTCCTTTTTCTGTATAGTTTTTTCTATCACGTTCAATAATCAGCCTGCTGTGCTGAGGGGAAACGCCCTATGAACATTTGCGTGTTGCTATAATTCTTGTAATCATGCAGTAAATGTCTGGAGAAATGTCGTAAATTTTCCTTGAAATTTCTCACAGAATTTTATTCGCAATATCTAGTGGGAAGAAATTTGGCAACCTTTACATGTTATTGTTCAAGCGTTGTGTATACTAAACAATACGAGCAGTGGCATTTTTCTTTTCAAAGGCATTACAATTTTTTTCAGCTATTTATGAAGAAAAAAACACTTTATGAGCTTAATTCAACAAAATCTTGACGAAAATAATCATTAAGAAAACTCAAAATCATATTTTTTCTTAACACATCCTCGGCCCTAAAATATTCTATATCTGATAAACAGTCCATGAGCCACTCAAGTAAAGTAAACGACTTGCAATGCATCAACATTACAGAGGCAAAACTCCCTGCGATCGGCGCGGCAGGTGACATTTTTAGGGATACGACTATTCGAACTCCGGTGTCGTGCGTGTGTATCAAGCGAGTTTGAAGGCGCATCATAGGTCTGACGCGTATCGAGACTGTGCACTGTGCTGTACGAGGCCACGACAACGCGTCAGGCACGACGCGACGCAATAGAGGGCGCGCGTTATTTTGCGGTATCTACAAATGTTCTATTTTATTACAGAGAACCTGTTGGTTGAATCTGCTTAAAAATTTAACTGGCTTTTATTGGCAGCACAAAGAAAATTCGGTGAAATTTTCGAACAGCTTCGTTGAACAATTTCTCTGCAAAAAAATGAAGTTTTTCGGCAGAATTTTTTGAACGTAGCATGGAGATTGTGATACTTTGACCGGAAAGTGACGATGTATATACATATGAGTCGCTTTTATAAATCCGCGATATAAATGACAATATATATCCAAATTTTAAAAAGAAAGTTTTAAACAATCAAATGATCAATGGTTTGCGAAGTTTTCCGCCGATAACGCTCTAAATAAAAAAAAAACTAAAAATGTAAATACAAATAAACGAAGATCTCTATGCTTGACGCGATGTATAGCCACGAATGATTCAAACCCATCTGTAACTTCTGCAATTTATCACCTCTCACCGTCAAACACGTGATTATAGATTGCTCTGCCCTCAAGGATCGCCAATCACAGATTTACTCACCAACAGTCAAAAGGAATACAAACCCATTAACATGCGATGAACCCAATGTCACAACCAAACTTCTAAAACTCCTTGTCTCCCTTAATTTAAAAATCTAAATTTTGTATATACACCCATCTTCCGAATTCTTTGTAAAGACGTTAATAGCCTAGGTTGCTGAATGTCTATAAATAAACTAACTAACTAACTTCATTTCGCTTGTGTCGATACGATTCCTGGATCTCAATGTCATGTGCTGGTTACACGCTCAAATCCCCATCAATTTCCGATCAAATGGTGACCGGTGCGCACCATCCACCATCAAATTGCTGCGGCCTGCAAAAATTTGATGGTAGATGGTGGAGCTGTGGGGCTCATCCTTCATCTGATTTCCACACGACCGTGCTTATTTCATGCTTGTTTCAATCAACCCGCTCTTTTGATTAATTTTACTCATCAATCTAGATTACTTTCGACCGTCATCTTGGTCATCGTTTTGACCGGAATTTGACGGGAATTTGATCGTGTAACCAGGCCATTAAAAGCACTCATGTTTTCATCGCCTATTTAATGTTTTCTCACAGCTTATCGTGAAACCAAACGTATACATTAGTTGGGTCTGCATCAGTCAACAATGTCGCATCGCATTTCGAGAAACAAAACTATTGATCCAACCGCCAAAGGCACGATATCCCACAATCATACAAAAGCAATAATGGGCCTGTTGCAAACTTTTGCTAGAGCAAAACTACGAGTTGTTTCTTATAGATAATGCCTCAAAAATCACGATGAGCGCATCGGCAAAGTCTGAAATGCACTTATAACTTCACAATCTGCGTAAGAAATTTGCGGTTTTTTGAGCTTCCCGCTTCAAAAACGATACTACGGCTCAGGTGAACATTTTGTTAGAGGAGTCGCTCCATCGTCTGCAATACTCATCATGGCCGACACCAATCCGCCAAAACACGTGTGATGGGACGAGATAACACCTGAACAGGATTAGACCAAGTAACAATCGGCGTGTTTACGTTCATATTTTTCTCGCCCGCCTTGATTGACCTTGAACTCTCCTCGAATTACGCGCAGAACTGCGCAAGCGTCGGCCATGATGAATATTGCCGACGATGGAGCGACTCCTCTAACAAAATGTTCACCTGTGCCGTAGTATCGTTTTTGAAGCGGGAAGCTCAAAAAACCGCAAATTTCTTACGCAGACTGTGAAGTTATGAGTGCATTTCAGACTTTGCCGATGCGCTCATCGTGATTTTTGAGGCATTATCTACAAGAAACAACTCTTATTTTTGCTCTAGCAAAAGTTTGCAACAGGCCCATTAGTTTGAGAGCCCCCCCCCCCCTCGGCTAGGGCGCTCAGGCGCGTGGGAGATAAAAAAAAATCAGTGTCCGCAAGACTGGCCGCATGCAAGGGCCGAAAGCAGCAATCAGCCGTTCTCGGAAGCGAGGTCCCAGGTCTGATCTGTGAATAAAAATGAAACACCTCGTACCATGATTTAAAAGGACGAGCTCACCCACACACGCGCTCGGACCTACTCACACACGCGCGAGCAGAAAGTTTTTCTCAGAAAAATTGTCCAACCGACGCTGCCTCTCGCACGACTCCTAAAACTTGCTCGCAAGTTCTCTCTCTTTCTCTCTCCCCCTCTTGTGTTTTAGCATTCCCTCTCTCTTCTCTCGCAACTAGGATTTCTGTCCTTTTTCATTCCTCCCTACCTGACCGCATCTCTCCCTCTCGATTCTAATTCCTCCTGTCTGCCTGCTCCGATTTTTTGTGGCGCGCTTAAATAAGTTTTATTGAATTTGATTTTAAATTCCTGGGCGCTGTTTTTTCCCAGCGCGCTAGTCGGAAGGATTTGTTGTTGCTAAGAGCCGTCAAGATGACGGTTACCTGGAAAACGTTTTGTCTCCAGACGAGAAGGCTTATATATAGCTGGAATTTTTTATGTTCCTAGACCAGAGGCTTGTTGAAACGATCTCATCAAGACTTTTCTTGAAATAAGAAGTTAAGAAACCAACGCTGAGCGAGCTTGTTCTCTATCCACTAAAAATTAGAGGGAACTACATTAGCAATGGTGGTGCAGTTGCTTATTTGGAATCGGAGTAATTAGTTGCAGCTATTTAACGTCCAAAAATTCGGACCTCAGTTTTAATACATTAAAGAAAATTTGAGAAAATTATTGGAGAAAATTTGAGAAAATCAAAAACACATTACAGCCTGCAAATCTACAGCTCAGAGGATTTCATTTAAAAAAAAGAGCAGGCAAATTGGTCCGGTGGTTTTCTCAAAGTTAACGTCCAAAGATTCGGAAATTTGTGTTTTAATATATAGGATGATAGTTGAAAATTGCTACTTCCTTGATGAGTCTGAAATGCTCAAGAATATAATTGAGTCTTGGGTCTTTGTCAGTGTTCTCCATTTCTAGACACCTCACCTATCAATTGAGGGGCCTGGGAGACAAAGCGCATAAGGACAGTTTTTCGGACCGGATCGATGTAGGTTCTCTTGAAGCAACTATTTTAACTCGACGGATGCGCGGGAAGTGGAATCGATTTTTGAAGGCGCACTGACTTTACAACTTGAAATAGCATTAGTCAGATATTCCGCGTGTAATAGGGGACATTTGTTGCAATTGTTATGAGCTTGGCTGGACGGAATTTAATAGTCGAAGTCAAACATCGATATCTAAGTTACCGTGCCACGTATTTCGGTTTGCGACGTTGTAAATTTCTTTCAAATTTCTCTCTTTTGAGGTATAATTGAGGGGCTTGGAAGACAAGACGCATAAGAGCAGTTTTTGGTATCTCGAGAAACACGTGTTTGAAGTTCCGAAATCACATGGATTCTTATGACGGAGAGGAAGTTCAAACTGACTTTTTGATGCTTAAAAATTGAAATTTGGGAGCTTTATCACCGAATATGCATTAAGACTAGTTTTACTTGAAATCATTCATTTTTTTTAAAATTTTATCTTATTTTTTTTATACTGCACTCATGCACCTTGTCCTCCAAGCTCCTCACATGTTCAACGCAATTTTACCATGAAAAAAGTTCATCAATAATATACCGCCGTGCAAAGGAAGAACGCCGCATGCACATTCGAGAGTTACCAAATTTTCTTCGATAAAATGTTCATTTCTGAGGAAAATTATGAATATTTTTCCTTGAAATTTTCAGACACTTCAGATCAAATTACAAACAAAACTATCTGAGAAATGGGCAAAAAAAATATTCAAACACTTTCCTGAAAATTAGTGATTTGCAAGAGGAAATTCAGCAACGGATGAAGGCTCACACGGCGTTTTCCCTTAGTACGGCAGAACACAATCACATTTGGAGCAAAGCTTTCAATTTCATAGCTTCCTCTTAATGTATGATTGCAGACCCCGGTGACTGGACGATGGAAAACATCAAATCATGGCTGTGTTGGTGCTCTGAGAAGTTCAATTTAAGGTCTTGTCCTGACGCGAAGAAGTTTCCTCCGGAGGGGGCCAAACTGCTCGAGCTTTCTTTGACTGACTTCGTTTCTTTGGCAGGCTCCAAGAGGGCAGGGAAACTTCTCTTCGTGCACCTTTCCTACATGAAAAGCACTTTCAACGGAACAGTTCCTATTGACCTGGATCTCTCTGACACCGAGGAAGAAATCGGTGAGTCTCTCTTCTTTTCCTTTGCCTTTTTGATGTCTTCGTTACCAGGACCGTAGGCAACGCCTGGACGTATTTCTATCAAACGGAACTAAGCGCCACAGGGGAGGAAGGGAGAGGGGGGCTTGGATTGGCGGGTGTTCCGGAACGCGATGCTCGTTGCGTCCTATACTCGCAATGCTTTTCCATGGCGCTTAGGTCCATTTGACAGAATGCGCTATCCGGGATTCTAAAATCCTCCAAAGGAACTCAAGTTGGCGCTTAGTTCCGTTTAACAGAAATACGTCCACCTCTGGTTTGACCTATTGAAACTTTTCTAAACTTATTTTTAACCTCACAGACACTGTGTGCGAATTTCAACTCCATCGAAGGAGATTTTCTTTAACGAAACTCCACTTATTTTTCATGCGATGCTGCTAAAATTCTATGGTTTTGTGGATGGATATATTTAGAAATCATGCTTTATTCTTATTCTTAGGTATATAGGTCCTAGGTATATCATCTTCAATATTTAAAATTTTAAAAGTTTTTATGAAATTAAAAGTCTGAAAATTATAAAAATGCTAAACGGTGATTATATACTTGAACGTACTTATGCTAAAAAGAACTGTGTGCATAGGGTTTGTGTGAAACATAGTTCCTTTTAGCATAAATACGTCCACTTAATGGAAAGAGAAAAAACACTAAATAATGCCTCAAACTGTATGTAACAAGCTGGTGAAATGGTGCTGAGTCCACACAATTTCGCTTGGAAAACAATGAAGCCAAAAATTTCCAAAAGTTGAAATTGTTGGAACTTTTTGACTTTGTTTTCCCCGCGCAATGGTGAGGACTCAGCACTATTTTCCCACCCTCTTAATAGATAAACTCCCCCTCAGTTTCGCACTGGTGCGCATTAGAGTTCAAAAAAATTAATTTGGACTCTAATTTTAATTTTTGGAACTTCTTGGCTTTGTTTTCCCCGCGAAACGGTATGGACCCAGCACTATTTCTCCTTGTTACATACAGTTCGGGCCACTTCTTAGTGTTTCTTTTCTCCATTAATAGATAAATCAGTTACAAAAAAAATTGGAATTTTTTGCTTTTATGAAAAGACTGAAGCTTTCTCGAGCGAGAACTGGCAGCGACGCACTATGGCGAGGCTCGCGAGAAGGGGTAGTTAAGATGAAGGGTGGTGGAGAAACAATTACGTCCGGTGTGAAGTCCGAGATGTTTATCTCGGCCCCCGTTCCGCTGGGAGACGGGATTAAGGAACGAGTCATTTACCATCGGAATGGTCAACGGTCCACTCCAATGCGATTTAGGGGGCTTTCCGTTTATTATCACGCTTTCCCGATTACCCCGTCTATTCACCCGTCCAGTTAAGCAATGAATCGTGACCGGACCTTTTGAAAAAAATCGATCGAAGTCAATTCGTGGATGAAAAAGAATACATTTTGGGATTGAACTTTGTTTTATACTGAATATCGAATTTTCACGGTTAATTTAGATTACTGAGGTGCTTGGCCATAGAAACAACGGTCGCAAAAACATTTTGGCTGATTGTTGAAATTGATAGACAAAGCGATAGATAAAGAAGACATATGGAGTATGGAGCGATTCTAATGGTTGTTTCTTATCAACTAAGGGGGTAAATTATAGACAAAATATGGGGTCTTTGTTGGTTGCCGTTAGTTAGTTTACTACCTAAATCCTATGTCCACTGCGACCACCCGCTTCCACAAATGGGATCCCTCCACATCCTTCGTCTTCTTTGTCTATAGCTATGTCTATAAATCTCAAAAATCAGCCCGCAGAAAATGTTACGTGTTCAATAAGAGTCGAACTTTTTCCTCATTGGTGTAGGTAACTTATTATTTTCGCGAGTAAAATTTCCATCACCACTCAAACGATTCTAATAATTTTTTGTAAGAGGCTCTGAATGGTGGCAAATTTTCCAGGTGTGTTGAATACAACAATTCGAAAGTATTTTGTGCTGAATGTAAAAGAAAGTGCAGTTGGTCTGCGGAAATGCGTGGAAGTCAACATAGATTTAGAATTTCTATCAAAGGGATTCTTTATTTGTCACCCTTTCTTCCTGAATCAAGCATCTTTCCGTCGGTTTGCCGTCGAAGTGGCGCAAAATCCCGGTATCGAAGTCTTAAGAATCTGAACTTTACGGGCTTTCGATGCAAGGTACGTGCTCGAGGATCATGGTTGCCAGATTGCGCTGACAAATCAGTACTTTTCTCCTATTTAAACTCATGTGAAGTATCCGTATTTTATCGCATGCTCTGACAACCGTGCCCGCCGTGAATCGTAAAGCACGATGCGCCACTTCCACCGCGGTTCAACCGAGGGATTTCTTCCGCCCCCGCCCCTACCCTCGTGCCCTCGCCTTTTCGCCGGGAACTTTTTGAGGCGTCGAAAGTTCGGCGGAATTAAAGAGCCGCGAGGAGAAGAAAAGGCACCGGAAATGAAGCGCCATTTCGCGCCGGGCTTTCTTATTCTGGAGACGATGCCCGACTCGAAATGAAAGGACTCGCCGTTGCCAGATTTAGGGGGTATTAGGGGGAAAATATTTCACTGCCACCGAACTGTACTGCCCCGCGAAAAAAGAGTACATTATGTAAGGCATAGGCGCACCTAGGTCATTTTGCTAAGGTGACTGGCCCCCCTACCACGAGGGGGTCTGGGGTAATGGAATAAACCCCCCCCCCCGCTTAAGAGGGTTCGGAGGGCCTCCCTGGGAAAATTTTTGAAATTCTAAATCTATACTGACTTCCATGTATTGCCGCAGACTAACTACATTTTTTTTCACATTCAGCACAAAATACTTTCGAATTGTTGTATTCAACACACCTCATGGAAAATTTGTGAAATTTTAACTCTATTTGGACGCATTTTGAGGCTTCCATGACTCAGATTTGTCATCAATTTCTGCAGAAAAATTACGGCTTTTCATATTTTCAGCAATCAACACAGCATTGAGTGACCCAATATTATGTCCTTCCGACCTGACTTTTTAGGAAACACAAAAAGCGGTTTTAAAATTTATACGCTCATGTAGTTTAAGAACACCTTCATTTTAAGCTAGATGACATTCTGCTTGCTGAAACAGTTCATTGACTAGGAAAAATGAAAGCTCTTACGAATGAAAATAGCGTTTTCGGGTTCAAATATTCTTAATTTTCAGTTCGAAAAATTTTACGACAGAAATCTACACAAATACACCTTAAACTTAAAGGCGATTGCCACCTTCCCTCCCTCTTTCCATTTTATTTTTTACATATTTTGAAAATCTTGATTTTTCTTCTGGGTCTACAGATATTTTGTAAAGTTTTGCCCCCTCTGCAAATTTTGTTCTCGTGTAACAGCTTTTGACACACCTCCAAGACATTAACCAAGGATAAACTCTGAGCAGAAAATCGAGTGTTCTTTGCCACAGTCGGCATCAGCGCACTCTGTCGGGGCGAAAAGAAAAAGGCTAATAAATGCACCCCGCCCCCTGCGGTTCCGTCTTAACCCCCCACCCCCACCCCCGCGGTCGACCTGCGCACTTTGTCAACCAATGGGGTTTTATGAGTTTCCCGGCCCCCGGCTGTGAGGGAAATCCGCTCAGGAAGGAAGGAAGGAAGGAAGGAAGGAAGGAAGGCGCGCAGAATCTTGTCGGAATCTAATCCTTTCCCGCTGTCGAATGTCTTCGCGATAAGTCGATTTTTTTCTCGAACAGCCCCTCGTTGCTTCTTCTCCGTGCACCACTACACCCTTATAACCTGGCCTTATGAATATTTGGACTACATTTTGCAATATAAAACTACTATTTCTGGCTCTACTAGAAACATCATATGTGTCATTAATGTCCTCATGAAAATACACTGGAAAAAAACACATTGGATCTAGAGTCCAGACTCTTGAAAACATTGACAAGAAAAAATACTCTTGATTCAATCGGATTTTTGCCTGAATCAAAACGAAATCCGCTTAAATTAAGAGCCTTGGTTCTTGATTTAAGCTAGATTCTGATTGAATCAAAAGTGCATTTTCTTGTCGATGTTTTTAAGAGTCTGAACTCTAGATCCAATGTGTTTTTTTCCCCAGTGTATGTGATATTCCGGATGAGCCACAAATGGATCGCATCATTTAGCAAAAAGGAACCAACGTGATTACAGTGTCGTAAAAACGTTGCTTTTTCATAATTATCAAAATATTCTCCCAGAATAACAAAAAGTTTTTGTCTCCCACCAAAAAATTGAGAATTGTATAGGAAAATAATTGTGTAAATTTAGATACCGTACATATTTCGAGTACTTAAAAAAAGAAGTGGCACGATTTTGAAAACACTGAATACTCTGTATTTCACCATCAGATCCGATTTTGTTCCTCGACAGGTTCCAACTCATACTTCTTTTTCCTTTTTTTTAACGAAAGCATACGAATTGACTTGAATGAAACATTAAACAAATATTTTCATCATATCTCGGAAAATCATTGGCAGATTTTAGTGTTTTTATTAATCCAGTTAGAGAAGACAGTGAGAAGCTTGCAACGCCGCAAATTAAATAAGATAAATGTATTTTACTTCGGCGTCGATGATGAGAAAATGCGCCATTTCACACGCAGCAGAAGAGTGTGATTTCTACGATAATCATGATCCTCCGCCAGGCGCTCTGAGCAACTATTCCGCCACAGGAGTATTGCACAGTATCAGACGGAAATGAAGGAGCACTAACTTTCGCAAATTGGCTGGTACCAATTGTAGAGTCCTACTGATCGGCTCCAGAATGATCCATTTTGGTGAGGATTGGTGTCGGGGGCATTTTTTGACGTAAAAGTCGAACTTTCAGTCAAATTTTCAAAATTTATAAAATCCAATATGGCAAAAGTGGCCTAAAATGCTATCTTAGCCTCTTCGGAATCATCCAACTTTGCAAAAGAGGTATCTGTTCTTTCTCTGTTCAGTTTCAAAATCAACGTACTCTCTGTGCAGAGTATAATTCAGCGGTAATCGCGATCTCGTCACC